ACTAATTTCTTTAATAGATGGGGCCTGTAATGACATGTGTCAATATAGTTAAGATCATTTGCTTCGCTTAGTTAATAGTGCCTAAAAGCAGTAGCAGGGACAGGCCTCACACTTGGTGAGTGGAAGAGACATTTTACTGCCTGGTGTAGATAACAATTACAGAATTTTTCTGGTTTTTTTGCCTGAATGCCTTCTTATGAGCTTCTAATGAGACAAGACAGTTACTGCAACTTGGCTTAACAGACCTCAAAACAGGAGTCATGACTTCTCAGTCCAGAGATTGTCAATGCTCCTAAGGACTGGACTTTCATGCTTAACAGAAGCAAGAATATTTCTTTATTTTTGGAAGGAGGGCAATGACACTTATGAGGGCTCCATCCTTGCATTAAGAGCACAATATTGGTTCTTATGTGAGAAAGCTCCAAACTTCAAGTCAGCTGATTGGACATAGTAGCTAGCAGGACGCCCTTTCAGGCACAGGAAATATAACAGCAGCTCCTGCAGGGGCTCAGTCCAGGTAGCACTGTAAGGAGCAGAATGAGGGTCTAAAGTTATGCTCTCTGATCTTGAGAGGCTGGAAAAAAGGGTGTTGTCCTAAGAAGGCATTTAATGTTGGGATTTGTGCAAAACTTTTTTCTTGAACCTATTGAGAATATTATACTACAAGAACTAGACCTTTTGCTCATACTTATACACCTGCTTAAAACTCTCTTGCAGGAACTCAGGGCTGTGTTTCACTTGGTTAAACGATGGACTTTGCTCTAGCCAAGAGACTAAGTTCTATTTGTTGACTTCTTTTCAGGTCCATGAACTTTATCCAAGCATCCATTCTGAACCTGTCTGATTCCAGGTGGAGGATTAGGTTTTTGCAGTAGCAGACGTCCTCTGAGAGACACATCAGATGGCTCAATGCTACGTTAGGCCAGAAAGCCACAGCTTCTTTAGTTAGAAAGGCATAAATAGTATCACGGCTGCTTCTCCTTCCTATCTTTTGTATGGTTCTAGGGAAATGGAAGAGGTAGGAAGATATACAGCGCAGACACTGTCATGCTTTGAAAGAGGTTGTTCACCACCTCACATTCTGGGTCCAATACATGGAGAGGAGACTGCTTTCTAGACACAAAAAAGGCCAACCACCGTCACAGTGACTTAATGAATGAAAATATTTCTGGATGCACATTCTATGCTAAGATGAGCGGGGGGAACTTCTGACATGTAAGCCTTGGTATCCATCTCCCCCTTGATGGGCAGTACACATACAGAGGGAAACTCTGCTCTGCCCAGGACTAGAGAAGTTGATTTTCACTCTTGGCTCAGGTGATCATGTTCTTATTTTTAGGAAAACAGCTGTCAAACACACTGATGGCTAGAACCAAAACAAGTTTGATCCAGAGAAGGAAAGATGCTCCATAGACTTCACTGATTCATTGGTTCCTGCAGGTGGTGTGCCTGTATCTAGAATCTATTCCCTGGTTTGAATTAAGAGACGAATGAATCTCTCTATTAAACCCAGCTGGCATCAGAGCTAGGATCACTATGCCTAATTCAATAATAGGTGGAGCTCTTAAAACAAAACCCTGCTTCTGCATTCAGTTGACATAGGATGTCAATGGATGTGATAAAGAGGTGGAGGGGATAACCTGAATTACTGGATAGGTCTCATATGACTGCTGGATCATTAAAAGCACACATGGGATTGATTAAAGATCGTTCACTACACCCAATAGGCATACAGAGCCACAGGAATTACCACACGGCTATGGCTTGGTCTCTTCTGCACTGATCTACCATACTGTACACGTTGAAGGTGAGCAGGGGAACTAGTTGCTGATTTTATTTAAAGGGAGCAAAACTGGTCCCAGAGATTGCTCCAATAGTATTTCAAGTGGTTAACGATCTCCTCTCCTCAAAGTGGTCAGATTTATTGTCCCTTCCTCCCCCACATGAGCCTCTTCTAAGTCTTTAGGCTTTCAAGGCAGGTACTGGTGGCCTAGGGTTCGAGGATGGACAGCTCATCTCTATCCTTTCTACTGCATGAGATCCAGATGGGCCTGCAATTCCCCTGTAGACCTCAGCCTGGGATATCAATAGAGATCCTTTAAAAGGCTTGTTGTAGAGATTGTGGCAGTAGGAAAGAGCTGGGTCCAATGACTCCTTACTGCACACACTGCCATCAGCAGTATCTGTGCTGAGTCCACTATCCTCCACCATCTACACTGAAGGGAGAGTGAGGATGTGACTGAGCTCAACAGTTAAAAGGTGGTATGAACTCCAGGGACTTAATCTTCCATCTAGCAAGCTGTCCTTCTGGCATCAAGATGAGAGCAGGAACTGCTTGCCCCCATTTTTCCAATCCTGCTCAGGAATGGGGGGCTAAAGCAACCCTGCTTGGACTGGCTGAGAGAGAAAGAGACTGCACCCTGCCCATAAAGCCAGTCAAGCTCCACAATCAGACACTAAACGGGTGAAGAACAGACCCTTCCTTTTGCCTCTGGCTTTTCTCAGCCTTGCTCAGTCTCTGAAAATGCACCAAAACACTGCAAATGCTTAAGATGGAGAAACAAAGCTGAGGGGATAATCTCCCTAAAATGCAAATGAAGCCCTAGAACAGAGACCGGAATCGCACAGCCAATTTGCTGAGCCAAAACAGTACTCAGAAATTTGAAATGAAGTTGGGAATTTTCCCTCAGAAAAGCTCTGCAGCAGGGAGGTCTGGCTGTGCCATCTGCCACTGTGGGTGCACATAAGAACAGGCAGAACTTCAGGGAGCAGGGCATTCGCCAGCTACTAGTGACTGACAGGTCCAGTTCTGCTCCCAAGCTGAAATACAGATGGTAATAGATTGGTGGACTTTTGTATGATGAATAAAGTTCCCTGCAACAAATGAAGATAATCAGTATAAAATTTGGCTCATTCCTCAGTCACAATATATTATGATAAATTTACATTTGAACAAAACATACAGGTTCCCTAACAGCAGTCCCTTCAGTAAGTGGACAGGCAAGATGATTTAGTCATCACCACTGAATCTTCTCCAATGGATAGTTCTAGCATTCTAAAGTCAATGCCCACATTTTATCTGTTGTGACACCAAGCCAATTCACAGGTAGTTGGTATTAGGAAAAAACAGTACAAGCAAAGACAGGACCAATGTAGTAAAAGCCTTCTGTGCCATGCCTCTAGCTAAATTTTAAGAGCTCAACCATGTTAGGAGGTGTTCAATATCCCGTTTGGGCACTCAGGAGAAAAGATAAAGGAGAAGGGGGGAAATGGTTTATGAATTCCTGCTCACTACATGCTCTATGAAACTGTTAATTAAAAATCAGATCCTGAATTGCTGGAAATTCAGGCATAAAAGGACTACAAAAGTCAATACACCCGATACAAACCAACGGAGCAGGAAGTGTGCATGGGTAATGCAAATATATTCTCTTTTCTCAAAAGTCAGCAGGATTGTAAAATTCTTTATAAATTATTTAAATATATAAAATAAGTTTTGCAAATATACTGAATATTAAAGAAAATTTTTCAGTCCCTGTAGTGACTCCCAACTCCACACAAGGAAAATGGAAACCTACAGTACACTGTACACTGGGGAGAAAAGGTAGGAAGTTACATTTTTGCTACATGCTCTAAGGGAGTCTGTTTGAATATTCAACAGTGTCCAAAAAATCTTGTTTAAAGCAATGAGACCCATCTGTATTTTTAAAGCTATAGTCACTTCATATCATGCCTATCAGACCATATAATGAATACAAAATGTCAAAAACCAATTTTACACAGCACAGAATGAAAATTAAATTCTCCAGAGCCCCATTCTGCTTTCAACTGTTAAACTCAAAATACATCATTAAAAAGACACACAAACTAATGCTAGCACATGAAAATATTTCCAGGAATATGTTAGTCTTTATTCAACTTTTTAGCTATGACTCTTCCATTCAGAAGCTGGAGAGAATCTTTCCATTGGTTTGTCTTACTGGTTAATTCTGGATAACAAGATTTTGCAGAATTTGACATTAATTTAATTTTTCATTTATATTCGGTTATTCAAAGTTTACATAACCTTTTCAAAGTTGTTCCTTACAATGTATGGAATTTAAGATTAAAATAAAACTCTACTTTTAACATAACCTTTCTATAATGTAAAAATATTCTACGTATGTTTAACACATCAAGAATGCTAGTCATTTATTTTGTTGAGGGAAAACTATTTAATGCATGTTTCAGTATAAAAAACAACTGTAAATGTTTAGTATCAATGTGTCCGTTAAATTGGGTGCCACCCAGTGTTTAATTTCCGCAACTACAGTATAATACTGCATTTACAAATACAGAATAGCGATTCAAACATACGTAACAGTTTTAAACAACTGCAAATTTGAGATGCTGCTTACTTTTTACATTTACCTTTTCTCCCATTGTGGCAACTTTACATCTTTGAAAGAATGAGTGCTTAATTATCAAAACTATTATAAAAATAGCAGCATTCTACTAAAACATGAAAAGCAGACCCATGCATTAGGAGTTCGAATGCAGATTTCTGCCTTCCTTTTAGATTATCAAAATCTTTTCAAGTTAATTTCAAGGCAAGGGTATACAGAAAGATACTGCATAGTATGATTGGACACTAATCTGAACTGGGTATTTAATCAAAATCCATGATAATTACAGGGTAAACAATTTTATTTCAAAATACAGGTTTAACTCGAAATGTAGTGATGAATGCATAAGAGGCAAAAATGCAGACTTTTACAGCAGATATTACTGTCTCACTTCCATCCAGATGTAAGAGCTCTAATTTGTGAAAAGACAAAATAGTTGTGGCATTATCTGTTTCTAAAGAAATATAAATACTTTAAAACAAACACTGAAAATAAATTCTCATTTGATGTAACAAGCTACACTCATTACTGATGTTTCAATCTTCTTAAAAGAAAGGTATTTTACCCAATATATCAATGAAGAATAATCCTTGGAGGAAAAAAGTTGGAATGTAAGCCTCTTAGCTCAATTTAGATCTGTAAGTGGGGAAAAAAGACAGCATAGTGAGAAAGATAATTTTGACCATGTGAGCAAACAAACAATTCTACCTTTAAGATGTATCTTAATAATGTATCTTAGAGAACGGAAGATTCACAACTTATTTCACAATCGATTTTTTTTTGCCCCCAGTTTCCTTTGCCATTTTTTTTAAATGAGTACGTAATCATTTGCCCCTTCCCTCCCAACTCATCTCCTCTAGGGAAGTTAATGTTCAATGTAAAATCATCTCAATGAGTAAACAGTAAAATACAAATAGGCAGGGCTATGATTTTCCTGAAGAAGCAAAAAGAAAAATAATCCGAGCTGTGAGGTAAAGTTCCAAATCAAAACACAAACATAGTTTAAGAAGTCACTGGCAAAATGAACTGGTTCCTGTTTAAATCTTCCTACTACAAAAATGCTCCAGCATACAAATTACAACTTTTTCACACTAACTGTGAATTTGAGATCATTTTACTCAAGAGTCTAATTGGATTAAAAAGAAACTGCAAGCATGCTAACACTTCAGAGTGTTTCTTCATGCTGTTTTATTCTGCCCTCTTATCCTTTGGGCAGAAATCTTGCTATCTGCCTGATACACCTAATTTACAGTATTGTGCCATCTTATACTATATAAATGATTAATAAACAGTCTCAGCTGCACTTTAGAATATATTTTCCCCCACTTAAAATTCCATGTTCATAAGATATAGCACACTGTTTTCAGAATTTGCCTGAGGAATCAGAGGATGGGATTTTGAGTCATTGTTCATTTTGAGGGTGACTTGTCCACTAGAGCAGTGGTTTTCATCCTGGGGTCCGCTGACTACGTCAAAGATTGCCAAAGGGGTCCCCCACCTCCATTTGAAATATTTTAGGGTTTCGCAAATGAAAAAAGTTTGAGAACCACTGCACTAGAGCTCTGAAATTGTCACATTAACTTGATTATTCTGTAGTGACTGCTGAGGTTGACTACATTCCTGCAACCATAATGTGATAATTTATTTCTAGCTCCCATAAACAGTGTTAAAGATCAAACTTTGACAGGTATGAAATTCTGTTATTAAAAACTGAAGCAATATTCACTGTATGACATCCTACAAATCTTTGATCTATGACTATGCAGAGGTCTGCAAGAAGTGCCATAACTCCAAAGGACAGGATTTTTGACCAATTTCACTTAGTCACTGGACAGCCTTCGAGAAATATCATCTAGCCCGGTTAAAGGCTTCAAAGCTTTAATACGTTATGCTACCTAAATTAAGTAGTAAACAAAGCAGTATTATCAAGAGTTGATGCTTCAAATAAATAAATAATAAATAAATTAATGGAGATATCCTATCTCCTAGAACTGGAAGGGACCTTGAAAGGTCATCGAGTCCAGCCCCCTGCCTTCACTAGCAGGACTAAGTACTGATTTTGCCCCAGATCCTTAAGTGGCCCCCTCAAGGACTGAACTCATAACCCTGGGTTTAGTAGGCCAATGCTCAAACCACTGAGCTATCCCCCCCCCGCCCCCATGTAGTATTCTTATTACTTACATCATCAATGTCCTCATCATCATCTCCAATATCATCAAACTGGATTTCATCATCATCACCAGGACCAAATGTGTCTGTTTCATTGATTTTAGCTAAAGGGAGAGTTTTAAAAAAGTTAATTCACACATTAAAAACTGACAATTCACTGTGGGCTACTGACTTCCAATCTGATCTTGAAAGATTCTTACCGTGTTCTGGAAGTTCCCCATATGCCTTCAGACTTCTGGCTTCATCTGCATTGTATTTTAGAATGACATCCGCCTTGTTATCCTAAGTAAGAGAACATTTGACTGCATTAGTCAGCATTGTAGAAAGGTTTCCACTTCCTAAAAATGACAGGCTAGCAAGGTGTCTGTTAGTTGGACAGTTGAATCTTTTTCAATTCTTATGTCCTGAAATCACCCCCAAAATCCTTAGTTCTCAACTATTCTTCAGTTTGCCACTACAAGTGAAAGAGGTAAACCTACTATACAGAATATTATAAGTCTTCCCTCCCTGAAGTCCTTTTTTGTTAAGCATTCTAAACTATTCTTTTTCAAGGTACATCTACATCTGCCATATATCACAAACTAAAGCTTTAGCTAGCATTAGCAGTCTAAATTTTAATCTATGCAGCTGTGTAATAAAATATTTCTTAATGGGTTGTTAATTTGTTGAAAGTCTATTCTGAAGAAATAGAATTCTCTTCATAATTCCATTAGCAACGAAATTCACATTCCAATAATTGAAGGTATCACACTGCACGTATATTTATTATGAAAACAGCCCATTAAAAATCCAGTACAACTGCCATTCACTGGACTCAACATATAGTTACTATAGGAAACTATTAGAGCCACACATTTTAAAGAAAAAACTAATGTAGTCTCTGGATTCAGTGACAGATTAAGGCAGGATTCTTCGAACAGCAAAGGGCTCAAAGAATACATTTATCTGAGTGAAATGGCTGGTGTGACAGACATGGCAATTTTCTGCAATATCCTTGACAAACCTTAATGAATTAAATTTAAGCATCTTTGGAGTCCATTGTATTAAATGTAAAGGTTATGTATTATTGTGAGCCCTGGAAGTGTTATGAACTTCAAAGAACTATACTGAACAATGGGCCACACAAGAATGGACTTTAGGCCAAACAATGTCAAGTGGTTTGCCTGGGGAATCTCCATGGGGAAGTGAAAGCAAATTCTCATCTCTGGTTATGAAAAAGCCCAGCCTTTTGAAGCTACACCCTGAGGGGACCATTGTCTACTGGCTATGCATCTGAAGAAGTGAGGTTTTTACCCACGAAAGCTTATGCCCAAATAAATCTGTTAGTCTTTAAGGTGCCACCAGACTCCTTGTTGTTATTGTCTACTGAGTTCTTGTTCCCAGAATCTGAAGAGTAAAGGCTCAAGATGTGTAAAGGAAAGACTATCCGTGTGTGCTTCTTTTGAGCTAAAGCTATTATGAACTTAAAACAAAACTCTGGGGCCTGTTTAGGCAGTCTGGCTTGCTGGAAATATCACACTGTAGTCAGGGGAGTGAGGGCCAGGTCTCCACCCAAGAGAGTGAGGGAAAGCAGCCAGAAGCCTAACAGAGGCAGCCCTTGCTGGACCACAAAGGGAGAAATACAGGTGCAGTTACATTGAACTGTGACGGCTGGCATCCTACCAGACTACTGGAGCAGCACTTTGCTCCATTTGCCAGTGAAATGCACAGGAGCAGCTCACCAAGCAGCCATTTCTGAAAAAGTCAGAGGCATTCTGATGCCATAGGGCATTTTCCGCACACACATGGTCTAAAGGGGCAATTTGGATGAAAACTGGTCCATTTACCCATGATGGAATTTGCCTTGTATTACAAATATAAAAATAATCAAATATGAAACATATTTAACGTGATACAGTTAAACACATAGTAAGTGCCAGTTAAACAGAAATTATTTGCACAATGCTCTCTAGCAGACTTTTAGTGCCAGTTAAGTCATAAGCCATGCTATTTACTATAATACATATAAGTGCTAAATCAAGAAGAATATTTACCTGGTAGTCTCTTAAGCCAACCAATATAATATCTGATGTATTTATCCAAACCTGAAAGTCAGAAACAAGGAACACTTATTAAAAAAACCTCTACAAATCCACATTTGTCCATCTGCAATTTAACAGCAATAAGTTCAAACACTATACTTGTGGATCTACTAAAATATTAAAACAAACTGCAGACACTATTTTTCCTAAACAAGAAAACAAAGACATCCCCACTTCATAACACTTGGTTTCAATTTTACATTACATAATTAACTGTTGGTGGGGATAATAGTTGACCAAGCATGTTACAGAACTCCATCACCACAGCAAATCAAGTGATTTAGACGTCTCCAGCCCTATGGATGGCTACTAAGCCATTAAATTTGGGTAGGCCAAAGGAAGTCTAACCATTTTATTGACCGAGTTCCACAAAGGGTCTGTGCGCAGAGAAGTAAAACTTCACAGTAAAGTGAATGAGAGGAAGAAGCCAAGCAGAAGAGAAAATGCAAGAAATCTAACCTGGACTGTTTCTGTTGAGTGACTAGGTTAAAGTGATTTTCTAAAAGTTGGACTATTTTATTCATTAAAGAGATACTATGAACGGGTCATTTTTCAAAGATGACATGAATTCACATTAAAAGAAATGAAGATTAAAAATATGTTGAACTATTCACTGTGCATTATTCCAATGGTTTACATTGTTCTGCAATAGGGAAAAATAGAGTCTTTCCTTATACTTAGATTTAAATTTCAACTCTTTGAGGCAGGGACCATTCATTAAGCATTTGTACAGTGCCTAGCATGGTAAGGGGCTTCAAGTCAGGGATCCCTAAGCACTACTGCAATTCAAATAAATAATGTAGTAACTGGCATAAATATGATATTGCATTAAATAAATATTTAGGAATTAAGTTTATTGGAATCCTAAATACTTACTGACATCCTGTAATGCAGGGGTTCTCAACCTTTTTCTTTCTGAGGCCTGTCCCAACATGCTATAAAAACTCCAGAGCCCACCTGTATCATAATAACTGGTTTTCTGCATGTAAAAGCCAGGGTTGGCATTACAGAGTACTAAGCAGGGCAATTGCCTAGGGCCTCATACCACAGCGGCCCCTGCAGAGCTACATTGCTTAGACTTTGGCTTTAGCCTCGGGAGGTGGAGCTCAGGGCCTGGGCTTCAGTCCCTTGTGGCAGGGCATTGGCTTTCTGCCCTGGGCCCCAGCAAGTCTAATGCTGGCCCTGCTCGGCAGCCCCCATGAAACCTGCTCGGTTGAGAGCCACTGCTGTAATCCAGGGTGTGAATGGGAGGCTTTTTTGTACCATAACAGGGAGAGAACCCTCAGTGAGAAAGGTGCATCTCCTATCACTTACACAGACAGGGATGCAGACTATGTAGAAATCAGCCACACAGCTTCATAAGATCTATTGCAGAGGCAGATATTAGACACAGACTTGACTGTGTGGTAGGACTTGTTAGGCTTCTTGCTTAAATGGATTTTTTCCCAAAGAGAGCATACACCATAAAAAAGACTCAGGGAACTAGATTTTATGTCTTTATCTAGATGTGTGAATGAAATGAAAGATAATTTAGTCAACTGATCACATGTTCTGCTGTTAATGTACATTCTTTTTTTTTTTTTTTTTTTTTTTTTTTTTTGGTTTTTACTGTACTTAACTTTCCTCTGCAAGCCTGGCTGGCAACCAGGGGATCTGTAAGTTACTATTACCGTAAGTGCATAACTGGTTGGAAAACTGTTCTTAAAAAGAGTAGTTATCAGTGGTTCACAATCAAGCTGGAAGGGCATATCGAGTGAGGTCCTGCAGGGATTAGTTCTGGGTCCAGTTCTGTTCAATATATTAATCAATTATTTAGACAATGGCACAGAGTACACTTCTAAAGTTTGTGGACCATACCAAGCTGGGAGGGGTTGCAAGTGCTTTGGAGGATAGGAATAAAATTCAAAACGATCTGGACAAACTGGAGAAATGGTCTGAAGTAAACAGGATGAAATTCAACAAGGACAAATGCAAAGTATTCCACTTAAGACGGAACAATCAGTTGCACACATACAAAATGGGAAATGACTGCCTACGAAGGAGTACCACAGAAAGGGATCTGGGGGTTAAAGTGGATCACAAGCTAAGTGTCAGTCAACAGTGTAACACCATTGCAAAAAAAGGCAAACATCATTTGGGGATGTATTAGCAGGAGTGTTGTAAGCAAGACATGAGAAGTAATTCTTGTGCCACATTGATTAGGCCTCAACTGGAGTATTGTTCTGGGTGCCACATTTCAGGAAAGATGTGGACAAATTTGAGAAAGAGCAATAAAAATAATTAAAGGTCTAGAAAACATGACCTATGAGGGAAGATTGAAAAAATTGGGTTTGTTTAGTCTGGAAAGGAGAAGACTGAGAGGGGACATGATAACAGTTTTCAAGTACATAAAAGGTTGTTACAAGGAGGAGAAAGAAAAATTATTCTCGTTAACCTCTGAGGATAGGACAAGAAGCAATGGGCTTAAATTGCAGCAAGGGCAGTTTATGTTGGATATTGGGAAAAACAACTGCCAGGATGGTTAAACACTGGAATAAATTGCCTAGGGAGGCTGTGGAATCTCCATTATTGGAGATTTTTAAGAGCAGGTTAGATAAACACCTGTCAGAGATGGTCTAAGTAATACTTAGTCCTGCTGTTAGGGCAGGAGACTGGACTAGATGACCTCTCAAGGTCCCTTCCAGTCCTACGATTAAGATTAGTTGGAGAACAGAGTGGAGTTACAAAAGCAGTCAGTACACAGACACTTTAATATTTAGAATGTGTCAATGAATTTAGTGGATTGTACTGGGATGCCTTTTTCTACAACTGAAAGTTACCACAACTCCAAGTCCCCCCAGCTTGACTGAGAACATAACCTGAAGTTCTGATTGCATTTCTGAGCCTAGAAATATCTTGATTTAAAATGCAGTATGGATTTTTACTTAATTCACCTGTTAAAAAAATCCACGCAAGTTTTCTTTAAATCAGCAGCCTGAAAATGGCACTACTTTCTTCATACGATTATCACAATATATTTGAAGAAAAATTTCAGAGATTTTGGGCTTGGGTCCCAGTTATGCTATGGAGACTGTACACCACATTGGTAGTGAAAAGGGGCCTTAAAGTGCGTGTAAATGGAGCTGACCTAAGATTCAAGCCTTTTATTTATAAGCATGTTGGTTGGCAATCAGCATTTTACTAAACAATTTCAGACTACAAAACAACATTCTCAATTTGATCAACACTAAAACTCTGCTGTATTCACTGGCCAAAATCTTTGTTAATGCAGAGATAGCATTGACCAGAAGTGTCTTAGACCTGCCCAGAATGTTTCATGCCCCTAAACTTTAACCTCAGAAACCCGGAAATACAGAGTTAAGGTACACAGAGATGCCCCACCCAGAGATGACTAGGACCATTGTGGATATACTGCAAGTATGTTTCACAGCCAGTGCGACCCTATAATAAACAGGCAAGAGGAAAGACTGGTGAGTGTGCCATTTTATTAACTATATTCTCAGCTGCCTGCATGAACTCCAACTATTCTTCACTATGTTAGTGACAGCTGTAGTGACTGATTCAGGGATTACTTGCAGCTGGCACAGATTAGATTATGAGAAGAGGTGCATCTGGTGGTTTGTGAAGAGAAGGTGAAGTGGTCGAGTATAAGCCAGGCATAGTCTGCTTCTGTTCACGAAGGTGAGGACATGGTCTGACAGTTCACCCTAGTGTACCCATGCGCACTGTATCCATACTGTGACAGGTGTTACTGATATATACAATATCTTTGAGACTATTGTTCCAACATTATAAACGTTAACTGTATCTTTGTGAGCCAGAAATTGTACACTGGCAGGTTACCCAGCTCCCTCTAAGAACTAAAATCAGAGGGGAGGTGGGTGTGTGTGGGTGTAATTACTGTAGACCTGGAACAGGAAAACTGTAGAGAAGTACCATCCCTCAGGTGAATAGCATATACTGGTTCAGAACAGGTTCAAGAAGTCCAGGAGACAAAGAATGAGCCAAAAGTATCAAAGGCCAGCCTGAACTGACTGAGGAGCCCTCATTTTTGATCTGACAACTTATAGATTGTAACCAAGAGGGCAAACCCTGCTGAAAGGGTTTGAAGGACTTTGAAACCTATCAGGTTTACCATGTGGAAGACGGGTGACTTCTGGTAAACCTAGCATGTGTATAGAAGTTTTATGATATATTTTCTCTAATGTTTTTGTCCTAAAAATAAGTATATTTTGCTTTGCAAAAGCTGACGGGTCTTCACTGTTGTAGCACTTGAGAGAGAGAGAAACTGCAGGTGCTAAGCTAAGTTTAGACCTGCTGGGATACGCACAGTGAAGGGAAAGAATTCTAGCCTGGGAAGGAGGGAGGGGAATGCAGGTGCCTGCCTATAGAGAGGTGACAGAGGCCTGAGTCCTAAGGGGACGTCCCTTAAGCAGACCAAGGATGGGGCAGAGGCACAGTTAACCCCCAAAACTGGGATACCCACATTGCTCCATATCATCTGGAAGCACAGTGCCATAATGGCTAGTGGGGTCAAGCTGGGCCATCATTCAGAGTTCAGATTACAGGGCAGTGTGTACTGTTGGGCCTACAAATTTACTTGAATTGTAAGCTCAAATGTAAGTAGTATGTAAAAGGTTATAAGATGTTACAATAATTTATAACAACAAATGTTGATGGGAAAAGGTACGAAAGGCCTGAATAGCTGAATTAGTCTAAACGAAAAGGCCAAGTTGATATGATTCAAGGTCTGTGTTGACATTATGCTTGTTAAAAAACAGGAGATATGACACCAGAGGATAATGAGCCAAAGTTGGTATGTCAGATATTAGGCCTAGTTGGTGGACAAAATAGTGACAGGTTAGACCAGGTGTAGGCAACCTGTGGCACGCGAGGTGATTTTCAGTGGCACTCACACTGCCCGGGTCCTGGCCACCAGTCCAGGGGGCTCTGCATTTTAATTTAATTTTAAATTAAACTTCTTAAACATTTTAAAATCCTTATTTACTTTACATAAAACAATAGTTTAGTTATATATTATAGACTTATAGAAAGAGACCTTCTAAAAACGTTAAAATGTATTACTGGCATGCAAAACCTTAAATTAGAGTGAATAAATGAAGACTCGGCACACCACTTCTGAAAGGTTGCTGACCCCTGGGTTAGACTATTATACCCATCACTCCCTTCTTGGGTCCTTAAATGAAAAATTTTGTTGGGAAAGTATGAAGGAACAAAAGAACAGACACACAGAACAGATAAAGGCTACTAGAGCAAGCTTCACCAATCATAGATGCCAATCCAACTGTTTCATTGGACCTCAGGCCTTCATCATCTTGAACCTGAGAGGTGTCTTAACTAGAACTGGCCAGAGAGAGAGAGAGAGAGAGAGAGAGAGGGACACCCAGATGATATTGTCATACCTACAGGCTCCAGCTGAATTCCAAGCACGCCTGGGATGACAGTTATTACCTTCTTTGATAGCATCAAAGATGGTCAACTAGGGGGATTTTCTTTCTGAGATTAAACTTCAACAACAGCAGCAGCATCTCTAGCCCATCTTAACTGACTTATCCTCTTTTCCCCCAAAAGGATAGTTATTACCATCTTTGAGACCACCTAAGAGACTGACAAATGCGGGTTTTCCTTCTAAAGACTCTACAGCTAAAGAGAAAACAAGCAAGGGACGCTGTTAAAATGAAAGCCTTACTCAATAGTTCACATTTCAAATACTTTAACTGTTTTTCCTTCTTTTCTGTATTGTTAATAAAAGGCTAAAAATGATGTGTTTGAACCTTTGGTTTGTCTAAACTAGAAGAATTATGGTAGAAAATGGAGAGGTTTTCTGTGTTTATTTTTCATGATAAACCTAAAATAGTGTTTTGACTGATGAGAACATCCTGGCTCCCCAGTAGTCAATGTGTACCATATGCCAGTGCTTAGAACAGGGTGTCTCTATTATGGGTGCATTTCCTGAAATTCAGCAACACCTTTGACCATGCTGACATTGATGAGCGTGGTAGCTACTTGCTATTCTTTGATCACACTCAGTTCCATTGCTCAGGAAAGAATGAGAAGCATGATTCTATCACTTTAATGTTTCTGCTTACTAGAGTTGATAGTCGTCCCTCTATTTAATTAAAGCTATTTTCCTTGACAATATTTCTGAAGTAAAATCAGAGTATGCATGTGATTTTAGAGTATTTGGAAATATCAATTTAAACAAGAAGTTTTGCTTTCAGGGCAAACTTGCCGGATGGAGTACCTGCAGAATGTAAACAAAGAGCAACTAATGTGCTCAACATATGTTGTCAGAAAGCTGACAATGCTGTTTGCTTGGCTTAAATGGCCACAGCATGTCACCTTGAGCCACTCCTGTTATTCTGATGCCAGGCTACCTGTAAAACAATCAGGTATGCAACAGAGCCTTTGTCCTGTTGCACATGTGATTTCTGGGGGACTGTATCTTGTGAACCTTTGTTCAATTACCTCAAATTTGGACCACTAAACCTATCCCCTTGAGGAACAGCAATTTGCAAGTCTATCCAAGTAAGCATGAAGATTTTTACAGTAAGCTGGTCTCAATTTTAATTACCATCATGCTACCCACCAATCTACTCTGACCCTGTAGGCTTAAACTCAAGCCAAAATTTAGAGTTTGTATAGAGTTTTATAAAACCCAAGTCCAACAGAAATGTTTCTGTAAAATACAAAACTGACAGTTTTTAAACAAGCAAAAACCTCTCCTGAAACATCTGCATCCCCAAGAACCTGAAAGTTAGTGTGACTACGGGCAAGATTTAAACTTCCTTCATTGCCCTTGCCAAGAGAAGTACAAGTAGCTAATTATCTGAACAAAACTAAATATGAGTTTTAAAATTCTTTCAATTTTAATAATCTAAAGTTGCTAGTACCATAATTAAGGAAATTTTTAAAGTGTCCCTTTATTTAGAGTATGTGTAGCCATATCAATTTTCAGAAGATTGCCTGTTCTGCTTGGTATGTATTCATTTATTTTCCATGTAAGTGATTTAGACTTACCTTTTTTCTTAGCTTCCCTCTGATATGACATAACCTCTTCACACCATCAAAACATAATGCCTCCAATCTTCCATTGCCCAACATCTTGATCACCTGAGCATACTCTGGAAGAGATAGTCCAAAATGTTGCTGAATTACATAATTTTAAACAGCCAACAGGAATTTTTACAAGGAAAAAAATGATGTATTTATTTTACTGTTGCACCAAGGAGCCCTAGTCATGGACCAGGATCCCATTTTGCGAGGCACTGTATAAACAGAAAAGACAGTCCTTGCCCCAAGAAGCATACTCTGGAGGCTCTGTGAGGGGAAGTTTCAATGGTGCCTGGGCCTGTGGTGGTCACTGCCACAGACCTGCTAGGTGATCTTGCCTTAGAATGGGATGAGGAGTGGAGCCTCTGTGACCAAGAAGCATCTCAGGGATTCTATGGAGGCCACTGGTATGGGTAGGACACTGGGGCAAGTAGGCTCCAGACAGGGGCGCCCCTGTCCTGACTGCAAGACAAGTGCCAATCCTGATACCCTCAGTGCTCCATGAACAACCCCCTCAATATGGGTCAGGTGATGGAAAGCAAGAGGAGGAAGATCCTAACCTGGATGCCAAGGAGTCCTGGGCTTCAGGGGATGAAGATGGAACCAGCCTTGAGGGTGGGAGCAACTGGTCTGACTCATTCATAGCCCAGAACGAATTGGGAACTGGCACTGACAGTGGAAACTATATTAGCAGTGCCAAATATGCCTCTATCATTTCCGGTGCTGGAAGAAGTGCTGACCCCAAAGTCAGCAGCAGTACCAGGATGACTGATGGTACCCAAGTGGAGGGAAATGATTGCCACCCTGGTAACACAGGTGGCACCAACAGCAGGGGTGCTGAAGAAATTCCTGGCACTAAAGAGGTCTCTTGCACCAAGCCCAGCCCCACTTCCACTGACTATGGAAGGAAACAGTGGGGTGTAATGCTGACAGACAGGTTCAGCAGCCCACCCAGCCAATGGGGCTATAAACAATGTAGCTCTGGCAAAGTCTTGATTACTTTAATAGCTTTCTCTGGTTTTGACAAATGCAAGAGCACCTAGTATTCACTTTCAAGGCTCTTCATAGTCAATCCCCACTCTACCTAACACCTCTGATTCATTATCAAGCTGTTGATGCTCACTGATTGGTCCATTATGCTAGCCTTCACCGCCACTTGTTCACCTTTCAAAGAAGCACCTTCATGCCTTATCCTGTGTAGCCACACACGCTTGGGAGGTGTTCCACATAAACATCCACAAAGCTGCCTCATTTTCCATTTTCAGATCCCTTCTCAAAATTCCTTTGCTTTGATGTCAAATTTTTTGTAGGCAACAGTTAGCTTGCTCATGTGGAGAGACCACCACCTGCCATGTTGACCAATATTTTCAGTGTGGATATACTCCAAAAATCACAATGTTACAAAGATTTTTTGTTTTCATCACTGCAACTTTATGGATATTATAAATGTTAAAGTTTTATTGTTGGAACAAATGCAAATTTGAATTGATATGCACTTAAATAAGCCATAACCACACTTTAAAAAGTCTTTATGTTACTGTTGGTATCTAAAGTGACTACATGTTTTCTATACTGAACCCCTCTTACATTTATGCATGCTTTATTTTTTTCCCCAGAATATTTTTAAAAGATATACAAGTCCCTACATTTATTATCTCTGACTTCCAGATCAAGTGTGCTCATTTTACACATGACAACAATTTGTGGATCCATCACCACCCCCCTCCACCTCTACAGAAAGATTACAAAAACAAGCAGATCATTTGGGGACAGGAGAGCACAGCATATTCTTCTCCCCTCTTTCGGTGTATTCTGAATTCCATCTTCAGGGGGTCCTACTGTCCTTAAAAGGATGCTGTCCCTAGATCACACTGAAAAGCTCTCCTTTCATACATATTAGCCTTCAACAGAGAAATGCAAAGCCCCTAGCACCTGCTTGTTGGACGGGAGAAGGATCTTATGCTAGCTCCTTTCCCCATGGGAAGGTCCTCTGCTACTTGACTACACTTCCAGTCTCTTGGACAATGCTAAAATCTGGTTGCAACTACTTCCCCTCAGACTGCAGTTGGGTCCTCTTCTCCTGCGTGTAGGTTCAGGACCTACATCTGCTGTTGCTCATAGTTTACATAAGCAGCTGCATGAAAATGACATGATTCACAGTGGCCTACTAGCATTTGTTTTTCAAGTTTCCCATCCACCAGTAAACAAACCAGTTTCATTCCACTGCTTCTTAAAGCGACGAAGACTAGCAGGGACAATGGAGCGGACCACAGGCTCCAGAAAACACACTGCATCATTTCACATGTAGAAGATTATCTTTGAGGGATATGTCAAAAACAGCATAAAGATCAATGCCCTAGACACCCACACTCACTAGGGAAAATCCACTCCCAAAAGTTGTATTTCAAGCCCTGCTCTAGTACACTAAAATATTTCCTTAACATGGGTTAGAGTACAGATGCTTAACACATTGGAATATCACCACTGGAGAGCTGTGTTCAACTGGATAGATGGAATTTGTTCTAGAGTTGGGGAGATTTTCCTAGGGAGACTTATTTTCCTTTTTGTATGTGGTTGATAGACTGACAGGTGCATAAAATAAATCAGCTCAATTTTCTTAGTATGACTACCACACAATGTGATGCAATTGAAAAGCCTATGAGTGTTGCAAGTCAAGGAGGCGCATCACAAGAGCTACAAGACTCTAAGTCAATTTGTGTTTTAGCCATTGGGGAAATTTTAAGCAAAGCTTTTGCCTGAATTTCATTTGGTTACCAAGCCAAATAGCTATCTGACTGCTAGGTGAACACTCAGATATGCTCACCATTTTAAAATTTACTACACTCCTCCTCTACCCATTCACGATCTTATGGGTTTCCCCATAAGACATCAGTCATTCATCATGGTGCCTCTGGCAGAGGACGGTTGAACGTTGCTCCCTATAGCACAGTGATGTCACTGCGTGAGCCAGAGGTGATCTCTAGAAAAAAAAACTAGGAACAATTTACACATAGGAACTAACGTAACCTTTTTTTATCACACAGCAGCACAAACTGCTTGAGGAGCAAAGAACTGAACTTATTTCTTAGGTGATATTAATAAATGGGAAGTGAAGTGGATATATCTTCACTCCCATTCAATTTGTCTTTTGCTAAATATATTCCCAAGATGAAGATGCTCCATTCCATCACATCAAAGTACTTTTGTAGTTTTCAAACATCCAAATGAAACCTATACACAGTCCAAGTATCCCTTGTGTAGAAACCTTCAAAGTATTGTAGCTACCATATTTGACTGAAAACATATAGTGACAATTACAATTTGAAATCTCACCTTGTCCATCCTCCTTGAACACTAATTCTCTCTTCTCCGATTCATTCTCATTCTTACCTCGTCGTCTGTTTTTACCTCCCTTACCTAAATTGAAAATAAAATAAATCACTACATGCAATTTAGAAATCTATATAAAATCATGTATTGGAAAGATAAAATAGCAATAATTTGTTAGACCTATGGAAATCTAATTTCACTACTGCAGCTTTAAAGCACTATATCTAGGCCTGTGATAAAACTGATCTTGCTTCTTAAAGCACTACACCATGATGATTTCAAGTTTCTTTCAAAAAGGATGAAGAGGCTGCCTAAAGTCAAAACTGCAAGAGACAAATTTTTAATTTTCATGTTCCTAATAAATGTGATGAGAAAAGTAGTATTCCTTTGGACTCTTAGAAGTCCAGCATAAGCTACAAGAAAGACTTAAAAACCTATTCTCTTCAGCAACAGTTTGATCATCTCATCTCTGTTCTAACCCTTCCTAATTCTGAGCTGAAGTGGCAGGGCTAGGATACAAGAAAAAAATTCCACATGAAACAGACACAGAAGAAATTCATGTGCATATAAATTCTTCAGCCACACACCACAAAAGAACATGTAAGAGAAACTGAATCACATCTCAAGAGCAACACCCATCCCTCAATCTCACCTCAATGATAGTATGCTAAAGCCATCTTGTTATTTTATTTAAAGTCTGGAGGTGTTTTGTGTTTCTTTGGATCAATTTCAGCAATATTTACTATCAAATTACCTCATCTTTGTTCTTATTTTACCATTGTCAAACAAGGGATCAATTAAAAGATCACATAGTAGTAACTATCGACTATTTAAACTCACTTTGAAAATTAGGTAACAGAAGCCTTCAAAAGAGCATTTAACACCATCACCCCTGAACATGCAATTGATTGCATTCTGGTGGACCTCAGTTAATCAACCTTCATGACTGTTCAGGAAAGAGAGAAACTACAAAGGGGCTCTGCGATGAATCTTCAGTTTCAGTTGTACTGCTGCTGCTACTGGTGAACACATTCTTGCAAGGACTGGGGAAGCATCCATGTGAGCTCCCCACCCCAAATCAGTGATTGATGTCATTATGCAAATAAACAAGACAGAAAAGTGTAACCTACTCAACAAAACATGAAAGTGACTACAGTACACAAAAGATAAAGTTCAACAAACAGACATTTGAAAAACTAAAGAAAAATAATTTTAGGGATTTCCTTTAGCAATAGTAGGTGCAAATATCCAGATGGACATGTGATTTTCAAATTCATGCTTTCCTTCTAAACAGCAGCATTTCAACAAGCTTCTGGCAACAGGATTCGTTTTCTTGTTGAAAAATCAGCAAGAACAGCTTGCAGGTTTTGTAAATCCTGCCTCCAAAAAACTGCTTCCTTTCTCTCCTTTCCTCTTTCACATCAGCACAGGGGAAAAAACCGGGGAGGGGTCACATGTTAACAACACTTGTTAAGGTTTCTACCATATGGGAACAGCGGTGGCTGCTGGTGCCCCTGAGAAGATCGGTATGTACTAGAAGAACAAATGCTACTGTTAGGGAGCGGGGCATAGCAACAGTTGACACTTGAATGCTGGCTGAGTTTTGCCAGACAGGGGAGAGGGGAACACACTTACTCCCGGAGTCCGAGGCTCTGTCTCTCTACACGAGTCTTTTTCTGCTTCTCGACTCAGCTGTAGCCTACCGCCCTGCACCCCCCGCCCTTCCTGCCAGACCCGTCGCGCATTCAGTCCCACTCACACACTCCGCGCACGTCGGGCCACGGGCCTGAGAGCAGCCCGGCGGGAGGGGCCCCGCGTCAGCCCGCGAGGTCGCCGCGGGGCAGTGGCTGCGCGGAGCCGTGAACCCGGGTCCCAGCCACTGTGTGAGGGGTGGGGAAGGTGCCCGTGACCGGGCTCGCTACACGGCGCTACGCGGCAGGAGGCCAGGCCAGGCCGCAAGGGCTGTGACCGCCCTGCCCGGATCCCCCACGTGAGGCGGCGAGGTGAGCTCCGGCCTCGCTCCCCCCGGGAGCCCGCGGACCCTCGCGCTCCTGGAGCCGCCGCACCCCCGCCCAGCGAGCTCCGGCCCCGCTCCCAGCCTGCCCTGCGAGGAGAGGCTCCCGGCGCCGCCCCGAGCACAGGCCGCTCCGGCCCCAGGCCCGGCTGGCGCCGCCCGTACGGCAGGGGCCGGCCTGAGGAGGCCTCACCTTTATTCTTGGGCATGGCGCCGGCCGCTCCTCACTGCGGGGCGGGTGTCTGCGCGCTGCTGCTCCCGGTCGGGCGGAGGGTTCCTGCGTGCGGCGCGCGGGCAGCGACTCGTCTCTCGCGGCAGCCGTTGGGATTGGAGAGTCACGCGACAGGCAGGGCCTTACACGGCTGCGACAGCGACCGCAACAGGCAACCGAGGCTACAGCTCTCTGCGGCGTGCGTGCGGCCCGACTCGCGCTCTAGCGCCCCCTGGCCGCCGGCGGCTTTCATTGCTCATTACTCACGGCTCAAACCCCGCCCGGTCCCAAATGCGCATGCGTGGGGGTGGCTTGTGTGGGAATGGAAGCTTGCGAGAAGGTCCGGACGGCAGAGCCGGAGACGAGCGCGGGGGGGCAGCGGCGCGTGTTTGCACGTGACAGCCCCGGTCCTAGCCCGCTGCGCAGGGTCCGCTGGAGCAGCGACGGGGTCACCGGCGCTCAGGATTTTCCTGTGCGAGCCCCGATATTTGCTGTTTTTCTTAATGTCCCACTGTAATGTGAGCTTCTGCCCTGTCCTTAAAGAAAAGCGTCTAGCCTCCTGGTTGGGGTGGAAAGCTGGAAAACGTGAGGCCAGCACTGTACCTAAAAGACTCAAAACCCAGAAGGCAAACGCAAGCCATCTACCATTTATTATTTTGTTACCATCTCATGATTTTTAGCTAATCTTATTTTTGGGAGGGTCCTGACATAAAGCAACCATATTTCAGGTTCCCCAAAAGAGGACACTGTTAGAGGAGCAGGATGGGGAGCTGGGGAAGGGGGAAGCTGATAGGGTATGTGGCAGGGAGGCTGCAACTCTAGCTGTCACCCCCTGCATGGAGAGGCTGCGACTCCAGCTGTAAGTCCCCCATGGAGGAAAAATCCCAGACAGTTGCTAATATTTTAAAAATTTGCCCAGATGGAGATTGGTGGACCAAAAATGAGGTCATGTCCGTGAAAACCCGGACGTACAGTAACCCTAGCCTGACATACTTTTTAAATACCTGAGGGGACTAACCACATTGTGATCAGTAATCATGACTGCCCAGCACCAACCAACTAAAATTCATATTTCAAGTAAAATTATGTGATCTGCAGTATCCAATACTAAAATGGAAAGGGCCCTGGGTGGCAAATGGAAAAAAGACAGCAGATCCAGCCCATCCACCCAATGAACCAGATATGCTCCTACCTCCTAGTCCTCAGCTCTAAACTGTGGCCTTCCCTTTCGTATGTAGCACTTGCAATGTGCCATTGAATCGGGGAGGATGGGTCCCATACTGTCTTGTATAATTGGGATCTCTTTATGGAGTGTGTGTGTGTGGGGGGGGGGCTCTCTGAGGGAAAGCAGGGATGGTATTTCTATAGGGAATGAAACTGTAAAATTAGATATTAAAAATCTTGCTATCAAATCTTTCTCAGGCTAGGATCACCAGAACTTCTGCTTAAAATATAAATCCATGATCCTACAGCAAATTATGTACGGGTAACTTTTTTTCAAATGCATAATGCCCTTGATTTCTATGAGTTAAGTTACATACAAGTTTAAGTCTTTAAAGGATTGGGGCCTAATTTATTACATTCCATTTAGCTAGTAGATTGATAGTTGATTGATAGACTAGATAAACTGTCAGGAAAAGGCTCCTTTACATTGCTAGTCTGGTATAAAGAGATCTTAATATAAGTGAGAATTCAGGTCATTCGGTCTCTACTAAATGGGTCATTTCATTTTCTTGGATATTGGTTTAAAAGCATCTGGTGAGAAACATTTATGGCATGTTAGAGATACCAAGACCTTATTTGCTCCTTCCTGGATACTAACAGGACAAATCATTGTGATAAATGCCCAGAAGATACATATCTAATCAAAGACCAAGATAATTGCTTCCCCAAGATCAAATGCTTTCTGTCCTATGGGAACCTTTGAGAATTGTTTTGGATTCCCTTGCTTTTCCTTTTTCCTTTGACACAGCTTTGGTGTTAGAGCCTTTAATAAACACCAGGACACTCCCACAGAGAAATCTAACAACCGGGATTTAATCTGCATTCTCCCCCTGTCCTTCCTGTTCTGCTTCCTCTATTTCTTAATATGTGATTTATCATCTTTGACAAACTGCTTCTAGGATTATCTTTTCTGTCTCTCTTTGTTGGCAAAAACCATGACTAAAATCTAAAGAATTTAACCATTTAAAGAATTACATTAAGAATATTAAAGATGCATGGTTACATTCAAGAATGAGGAAATGTGGAAGATCAGGTTGCGTGGTTGCCTTTGACTCTGCCATTTTTGCATGTGTTACTATTACATTACACTCTGTAATTAAGCAATCACTTTCTATGTCTCAAAGAAATTTAATATTGTAATAGAGCTGCATGATAAATGAATATATAAGAATGATACAAATAAATTAAAGGCTGCTACACATGGGAATCTAAGATTGTTTAAAACCTGCTTTACAATTTGATTGTAAACCACACTGATTATATAATGCACATGTACAATAGCCTGTAGTATTCTTTAATATCTGTGACCAGCTTTAGCACAGGAATCCAGGTATTTTCATTTCTTTTTATAGTTCCTTCTGTATTTGTTCTACAATCTTTCTTCCCTTCCTCTTCTCGGGAATTTAAGCAAGTCAGGTGAGTCATAGGTGGTCCTCACACCTGGGAAGAAAGGGCCCCGTCCTCAGAGATGCAAGAGGCTGCAGGAGAACACTGGCATAGAGTATTTTAAAAGGCACATACAGAGAAAGTTATTAAAAGTTGAAGCAGTTTACATCATTGTACCTTTCAAAATTACAGTTCCTTTCCTGGGCTACTCCTGGGACAGTGAAACTACACACCACTCCTTTCTCATGCCGAGGAAAGTCTCAATCTTGCCCTAAATGTAAGTCATTTTTTGATTTATACAGGTCCTTTCACAAACCTTATCTTTTTAGAAAATTACAGGCTATATTAGGGTTGAATAGTAACAACGCCATAGTTAAGGTTGTGACAGAATTTTGTTTTTTTGTCAGGAATGTTAAGCCTTTATGTTGTTTTAAAGAAATATTATAAAAATGGGAGAAAATTAAAGAGAATTAAAATTCAATTTATATTTTTCATGTTGGTTAGGTGCAGACTGGGTTCATATGCACACAAGATAACTTTTTTTTTAAATTGCCACTTTTAAATTTTACATACAATATTCCCCTACCCTCAGAAATCACTATTTTTCCCAGCTGTTGCAAAGGCAAACTGTCTTCCTGTTGATTCTGGTAGCTTGGTGAAGTAACTTGACGCCCTATTCGGCTTCTCCTCTTGGTGAATTTAACAAGACTATTGAGGAATACACTTTTGTTCGGAGATGTATTACCCATCATAATTGTTATTCCTGCTATTTTAATCTAAAATAATATATAAACATTTCATATCTTTTGTGTTGACTGACAATTCTTGTTTTTCTGTGTTGAAAGCCTGAAGAGGATTACGATACAATAATTTCAGAATCACAACTTGAGTTTGCAATGCCTTTTGACTTGTAAAGAGTGAATTTGACTGGATCAGTGGAATGTTTCCTATTACATTTCTCACTAATATGTATATTTTAATTTTCAAAACTTGTCTTGCTTTCCGAATTTCAAAAGGCTCATTGCAAATAAGACTCGATATTTATCAAATGTGTATCTAATGTCAATGTGTGACAAAATAAGAGTTTTTTTTAACTTATGCCGCAATCCTAATTATTTATTTAGCACCACATATACATATGACACTTTATAGCAGATGAAAAGACAAGGTCCCTGCCCTTTGGAGTCTACAATTTATGACTCCTATCCTTCATCTGCTTGTGTACAGATGGTTAACTTCATCTGCACAGAGCCCCAGTTACTTCAATGGAGCTCTATACATTTGCAGCAGTTTGTCCACATGCAAGAAGTTGCAGGATTACAGACTAAGTGACACCAAATTTTAGTATTAGCATCTTTTGGTCTGGACACCTCACAAATATATAGCGTTTTCAATAGAGTTAAATGTGATTGAGACCTTATACTAGGCCTAATTTTTTTCATCAGGTCTCTGACTATACTAATAAAGGTCAAGATGATTAAATATGCAACAAAGTAATGGCATAAAGCTTTAATGTCTTACTGATAAAACAACACCTGCATATTAAGCTCAGAAAAAAAACAAACTCCTCATTAGTTTAGAAATTAATTTAATAAGTAATTTCTGGCTGGGAATGCATATTTTATATGGAGCAAAGTTAATTACAGTTGAGGTAGGAACCACATGGCAGTCTGTTTTTTTTTTTTTTTTTTTTTTTTTTTTTAAGTGTGATTGGAAAAATCAATCAAACCCAATAAAACAGACATTTGTTTTCATATGTTTGAAAATTTATTAATTGTATAAATTTCAATTTCCTTTGAAGACTACAAAACCTGCCACTTGACAGGGATGCAAGCAATGATATCTTTCCAGGACTGTTCATGGTTACATCTGGAACAGTTTAGATTACACATTAATAGTATGATTAGAAAATTTCCTAGATCATACTCTGAATAAAACAATCATTTAAGTATTCAGTACTATTTAACCTTTTTACTAGCAATTCAATTCTATGACAGCAGTGCCAAGCATCTGAAAGATGCTATTTTAATTGTCTGCCAAAAGGTACAATACAGTTGAATTCCTGCTACTGTACCTTAGACTCACTTACATGCCATGCGGAGAAAACTAGTATAAAGTATGATTGTATAGAATTGTAGAAAAATATTTTATCTGTGATTTCATCATTTTTAAAAATTGTTTTAAGTAGATTCCCCCCACCCCCATTAGATTGCAAAATAATTACATCCCTTATGAGTACACCTTCCCTTTGATTAGGTCAAGAGTATCAAGATAAAGCTAATCATTTACATTATTTTCATGAGTGAAAACCCATCCATTAACCATTGATGCTTACCAAGGAATGACATACTTGGAAGCCTGTTTCCAATAATAGAAAAGCAGAGCTTTAGTTGGTATACTACATTTACAAAAACAAAGCAAACAAAAAACAAAAAACAAACAATTTATTTCCTTATGCCTTTTTCTCTTAAAAAAATGTTTTAAATACTTCATTTGAAAAATTCAGGATAAGTTTTGTTCAGTACTAATAGTGATTATGAATAAAGATCTTCACCGTTGCTAGATATAGATCTAATCTGAGTAGTGTAGCTACTCCCTCCCTTTGCTCTCAC